TCCCTGGTGTCCCTGCTCCCACGCCCGTGTCCCTGGTGTCCCTGGTGTCCCTGCTCCCCCGCACGTGTCCCTGGTCCCCGGTGCTGCAGTGCCAGGGCCACCCGGCTCAGGCCGCAGAGCGGCACCTCGTGCCACCCGCTGCTGTCGGCTCTGCAGGGCCCTGTCCCCGTCCTGACACACCTCAGATCTGTGTTGAGCTCTACCTGTGTTTTCCCACCTCTTCTTTCTTCTGCCTCCCTCGGCAGCAGTTAAAGGCTTGTTGATCCTTGGCTGCATTTCGCGGACAATTCCCCTCATACACTGCTGGCTCTTTTATTGACAAAACTCCTGTTTTCAAGGAAAATAAAAGACCTCTTTTGCCAGCAGCAGCCACTGTGATCTTGCTGCCTAAGGCAGTGGGACAAAGCAGAGGATGGGCTGACCCAGGACCGCTCCAGGGTCAGGTTCACGGCTGAGGCAGGGAATCCGGATCCGATTCCCCATGGGAATCTCCTTCCCTCATCTAACGGAGCTGTGTTTGCAAAGCGAAATCCTTGGGCCACTGTCACCACCGCGGCCGGGCCCCGCGATGCCCCGTCCCGAGCTCTGAGCATGAATCCACTTGACGTGACTCAGGAAATAAATCTGTGCTAATGACCTGCTGCAGCTTCAAGCGTTTAGACAATTCTCAATCTTTCTGCAGCTCTTTGTAATAATAATTGAATGACCTTTAAAACGGCCGTGGGTGGAAAAAATCCGTAAAACTGAGTAACAATTCAGCAGCTGCTGAAGAATATTGAAAATCAAGTCTAACGGAGCTGTGTTTGCAAAGTGAAATCCTTGGGCCACTGTCACCACCGTGGCCGGGCCCCGCGATGCCCCGTCTCGAGCTCTGAGCATGAATCCACTTGACGTGACTCAGGAAATAAATCTGTGCTAATGACCTGCTGCAGCTTCAAGCGTTTAGACAATTCTCAATCTTTCTGCAGCTCTTTGTAATAATAATTGAATGACCTTTAAAACGGCCGTGGGTGGAAAAAATCCGTAAAACTGAGTAACAATTCAGCAGCTGCTGAAGAATATTGAAAATCAAGAGGAACTCTTCAAAGTTAAGATATGGGGGAAAAAAAGCAGGTGAAGGAGCTCTCGGGAAGCTGGACGCTTGGTGGTCCTGGCGGCGACACGCAGGCAGGGGACACAAGACCCAACGGGTAAATGGACAAACCCTGGGCAAATGGGCAAACGCCACGTCCCCTTCGCGGGGGCTCGGTCCCCTCGGGTGCCTTAATGGGGATTGGGGCCATGCGGGACCACGCGAGGCCATATGGGGCCATACAAGGCCATGCGGGACCATGTGAGGCCATATGGGACCACACAGGCCCATGCAGGACCACACAGGGCCACGTAGGACCACGTGAGGCCATATGGGGCCATACGGGACCATATGGGGCCACACGGGACCATGCAGGGCCATGCAGGACCACGCGAGGCCATATGGGGCCATGTGGTGCCATACTGGACCATGTGGGACCACACGGGGCCATGAAAGGCTATACAGGACCTCACAGGGCCATGTGGGGCCACGTGAGGCATACAGGACCATGTGGGAACACACAGGGCCATGCAGGACCACGCGAGGCCATATGGGGCCATGTGGTGCCATACTGGACCATGTGGGACCACACGGGGCCATGAAAGGCTATACAGGACCTCACAGGGCCATGTGGGGCCACGTGAGGCATACAGGGCCATGCAGTGCTGTACGGGACCACGCGAGGCCATAGAGGGCCATGCGGAACCATGCAGGGCCATACGGGGCCACGCAGTGCCATACAGGACCACGTGGGGCCATGAGGGACCATGTGAGGCCATATGGGACCACACAGGCCCATGCAGGACCACACAGGGCCACGTAGGACCACGTGAGGCCATATGGGGCCATATGGGGCCACACGGGACCATGCAGGGCCATGCAGGACCTCGCGAGGCCATATGGGGCCATGTGGTGCCATACAAGACCATGTGGGACCACACAGGGCCATACAGGACCTCACAGGGCCATGTGGGACCACGTGAGGCCATACAGGGCCACGCAGTGCCATACAGGACCACGTGGGGCCATACGGGACCATGCAGGGCCCTGCCCAGCCGGCCACGTATCGCCGCTCTGCAGCCCGCGCTGGGTTTGATCCCCCGCAACACAGCGGATTTATCTCCCCGGGTTTCATGTGCCTTTAGGGAAACACCACTTTTTATCCCATTTCTGCCGCTTTTTATCATCACAAAGACTCTTTAATGGAATGAGGAAGCGTCTCTTTCCGCAGGCGAGAGCGGCGTGGGCAATTTCAATATAAAACAAACAAGGCAGCTTTCAAAATTAAAATTGCGCGTGAGGCATTTTCTCATTTAATGGAACGCGCAAGGCTGCAGACGCGGCGCTCAGCACCGTTACACACGGAGGAGCAGGGGCAGCTCCCCGTGGCCAGAAACCCCCGAACCCCAACAAATCTGCATCCTTCTCCACATCCTCAGCCAGACTATGGAGCTCCCAGCTTTCCGCAGTGGAAATCCCGGGGAGGAGCATGGGGAGTGTTTGGGAATTCCAGCTCCAGGGAGGAGCGGGAAATGCCGTGGATCAGGGCTTAGGGGCTGCCAGCGGTGGAGACGGTTCCCAAACGGGGGGACGCAGGCAGAAGTCCCGTGCGGAGGTGCCACTTCCTGGGAGGATTCTCCGCTCCGGAGCCCTCCGCCAGGACAAGGAGTGTCAGAGACGAAGGCGAGAGCCAGAGCTGCAGCTGTCACCGCCACCGTGGGGACCCAGCTCGCCCGGCGGCACGGGAGGAAGGGCTGGAATTAAGGCAAATCACCCCTGCTATCAACCCGGGCTGTGCCTGTGGAACGCAAGATTCCCAGATGCCGGGAGCAAGGCGGAGCTGCCCTGGTTGCCGCAATTCCCGTGCCCGGCGGCGGGGCGGATTTGCGCAGCGCCGTGTTCCCCATGGCGCAAACAGAGCGGCCCTGTTGTCACACCGATCCCTCGACACCCCCGCAGACCCCGCGCTGTCCTTGGCAATTCCCTTTCCGCGGAGGCAGGATCAACATGAGGTGTTTATGGACATCAGGAAATGCACCTTTCCGAGCAGAGATGGGGGAAGCGGGCTGCGATCCCACTGCAGATCTGCCCGTGTTTTAGTGTGAGGGATCCAGACTGATCGGCTTTCCTGAGATTGTGCGTAATTAAAAGGTTTGCCTGCGAGTCCTGGGAATGGTGGCAGAGCGCAGCGCGTCTGCTAAGGAGCCAGGCATGCGTTGAGCACCAATTGCCCCTATGATGAGAGA